AGCCTGTGGGATGCGAGGAACAAGGCCTGGCAGTTCCTGGCCACTGAGGGTCATTCCCAGGGTCTTGGCGTGCTACCCCGCAGGCTTCAGCACTGTGGTGCTCCTGAAGGGCACTCCACCCCCACCTCCGCCAGGTCTAGTTCAAGTCAGCAAGCCACCCCCTGGCTTCTCCGGCCTGCTCAGCCCCAACCCAGCCTGCGTCCCCAGCACTACCACCACCACAAAGGCGTAAGTGTGGCAGGCTGCCTGACCTGCCTTAGGGGCCAGCGGAGAGTGCCCTCACTTTCAGCCACCCCAAAGACTGAAGCCTCTATCTCCTGACCTCCAGACCCAGGCTGACACCAGCACCCCGGGCCTACCTTGTCCCCGAGAACTTCCGGGAGAGGAACCTGCAGCTCATCCAGTCCATCAAGGACTTTCTGCAGAGTGATGAAGCCCGCTTTAGCGAATTCAAAAGTCACTCAGGAGAATTTAGACAGGTCAGGCTGGTGGAGGGAGGCGGCGGGGGTGGGAGTACAGCCTGCCACCTGGGGCCTGGGCCTGGGCCAGGGGTGACTGGGTCTGGCTCTCGGTGGCAGGGCGTAATCTCCGCAGCCCAGTATTATAAGAGCTGTCGGGACCTGCTTGGGGAGAACTTTCAGAAGATCTTCAATGAGCTGCTGGTGCTCCTGCCCGACACAGCCAAGCAGCAGGAGCTGCTATCTGCACACACGGACTTTCGAGGCCAGGAGCGGCTGCCTGGCACCAAGGCCAAGAAGAATAAGAAGAATGCATGGCAAGCCAGCACCCAGCCTGCAGACCTGGACTGCTGTGTGTGCTCCACCTGTCAGCAGGTACTTGCAAATGGTGACTTCCACAGCCACCAGGCTCTGCACACTGCCCGGGATGACGACTTCCCCTCCCTGCAAGCTGTTGCCAGGACCCTCACATAGCTCCCACTATGTGGGCAGGAGTGGCCACAGCCATGAGCCTCCTTTGTCCCTGCTCTTCCTCCTGGGCTGACAGGCAGCCAGGTAAGGCCCTGTTGAGGCCACCTGCTCAGGCCCTTTGGTTGGCCGGCCCACCAGGGGTCACAAGGACAGCCCACTTCATATCCGCACAGTTAGGCAGGTTTCCTGCTGGGAACTGGGCAGATACCCCTGCCTCAGTGGTGGGCCAGTCTTGGCTTATATCTCATGATTTTGGAAGGTGCCAGGGGAAGAAAGGGCCAGTATGCCGGGACTTGTCCATGTTGTCAGAGGCAGTGGCCACAGTGGCCCAATCTGGGACCTCCTGAGCCTGAGGGCTGCAGCACTTTGGCCCCCAAGCCTGAAGCTGTGGGTCCACTGGTGCAGGAGTAAAACATTGAGTGTGTTGTGTAAACAGTTGGCTGTTTCATGATTCAAGAGTGTTCAGGATTAAAAGCAGACACAAAATTGTGCTACTTGAAGTTAAATCTTTCTACAAGAAGCTGAATCTGGGATCTCAAATTGCTTCTGACCTTTTATAAAACAGTTTATCTTTAAATAAATTTATTTTGCAATAATGCACATAACTGGCATTCTGAGCTTCTCTGCCTTGTGAGGTCACTCAGTAGTGAGGGGAACTCTGGGTCTACATGTGACAGCTCAGGTGGTCAGCCAGTAGAAGAAGGTCTGTGGGAAGAGCTGGGCAGCTGCGCTTTCCTTACAGGAAGCAGAAGCTAACCAAGAGGCCGCAGTTCTGGAGGCCGAGCACTGCCCAAACCTTCCAGGAATAGACACAGCCATGACATGCTTGACAACTGCACTTTGCACCCAGTAAACCTGTACTTCCAGAATGTGAGAGGCATACAGACACTGGGTTTACATGCAAAGATGGGGCGGC